CAGAGCAATGTCGTTTACTCTTTAAAGAAGACGCATCATACCTGCCAATGTCCCTGCGAGACATCGTTCAGGGCTCAATCTAGCAACTGCAGGTAGAACAGAAACCACGTGGTCATCCCTCACGTGACCTAAGACTTGGTCATGTGACTACCGCTCACAGTGAAAGACATTTTAATCGCTCTGGTAGTACATTCCTTTAATTGAAGCTGAAATTTGCCTCGTTTCCTTAGAGACGGCGGGATAATGAGGTGAGTGGTGACCAGCTAACTCTCCTTTAGCCTGCAGCAGGATGTGTCACGGTTCCTGTGCGGTGGGACTGTGGTGAAATCTGACTCGGTGCGGGGTTTGAGGCTCACACGGAAAGAGGATCATATGACACTGATATGAAGTCTCAAATGAAACCTGTACCTGTTTTCCAGGATGCTGAGAGAAACTCTGGCTCTCCTGTTCCTCTGGGCCTGCCTGGGCCCTGCAGCCGCCGCACGGAGCTGCTCGTCGTTTTTCTGCAGGAAATCTCTCAGAGTCAGCGGTCTGAACGGAGTGGACCCCGGGGCTCCTCTGTTTGTCACTCCCTATCTGGAGAAGGGCGCCATAGATGAAGGTAAGAGCAAGTTCTTGCATTATATAAACATATAATAAATAAACACGACATTCTGCGACGTTAACTTTATTTTTGCACTGCTACGCCTTGTTAACAGCCAGGAAACTGAGTATGGTTGGAAAATTGCCTGGGGCGAATGTCAAGAGTTACTCTGGATACTTCACAGTCAACAAGAACTACAACAGCAACCTCTTTTTCTGGTTCTTCCCTGCACAAATGGTGAGCTCAGAGTATTTATCTACAGCATGACACTCACTCATCCTGTTATGCTCAACGGTTTCAAAAAGTACCATGTGTTTTGTTGTTGTTGTTGTTGAGGAACTAAAATATTCTCCACACTCTTCACCTGTAAGCTTTCAGTCAACAGTGATTTGTCAGGAATCCCTTCCATGACAGTTATCACTGCGAGACAAATCGAGACCATTTTGAAAGCTCACAGTGGTTTGTCTGCTGCATCTAGTAATCAGTAACTTTGAGTTTTGATCAAAAACTTGACCAGTGCACCAAGAGTCACATGCCGACTCCTGACAGGCAATAAAAGCCAAACTTCTTCAGTTTGCAGTTTCAGCTCTACTTTATGTTACGAGACATGTAATCGAGTGTGGTCAGACATTTGCACTCGCATGAGGACTCTGGTATTTTAAATGTTGGTGAAAATACATGTCCGTTACAATTGGAAAACTTGAAGGAGAACAAAATCACTTTAAGAAGCTCAAATATATTTGAGTAAAATATCTATTTTTACTGGTTCAAGTTTCCTTTTCCTAACTTGAGGTGTGAGTTAGTCAACCCAGGAACCATCTGGTTGAGTTTCAGTGTTATCTTCCACTTTATGTGTTTAGTGAGAGTCATTAACTGCATGTGATCCCTTTACTCTATTCTGACATCCAATTATTACTGAACATCTCTTCAGCAAATGTAAATAAATAAGAAATGTTTGAATTTATTACACAGGCTCAAAACGAATCATAAAAACTCAAATGTAAACGCAGATCCTGATATTTAGTTAAAATCCCCTGAGCAGGTTTGAACTTTATATCGTCGCTTAATAATAACCATGATGCTCCAGCAGATTTCAGCTCATGGCGAAGTAGAAACTTGGGGATTCAGTGGTTGTTTCTGGTCAATGTGGCAAATTTTCTTTGATTTGAGGCTGACTGTTTGTGTCAGATGTCTAGTTATTGGTCAAATGTCTCTACATAGAAAAATTACGCTATAAATTTAGACATTCTCTACCAATTCTTCTTTTTTTTTTTAGATGCAGCTAAAATAATGCAAGTTGCTTGTTTGAATTATAAAATCCAAAGAAAAATAAAGTTGAAAAATAGTTAAAAGGTCTGAGATTCATGGCAATGAGGAATGCATAGAAACTTCAGACCTTATTAATTCCACATATTTCCATGCAAAATTACTAACAAAAATACTTTATGTTAATCACACTGTAAGAATCAGACAAATATAATCTACAACTCTACCAGAATGCAACAAAAAGAAGTTCAACCTTTTGCTTCTACTCTTTAAAGTTCACCTCACCACTAGGTGGAGCTGATTTATTAATTTGACCTGGGATCCCTGATTTCCAGGCACAGCAGGACAACGCCCCGGTGCTGCTCTGGCTGCAAGGTGGACCCGGTGGCACCTCCATGTTTGGTCTCTTTGTGGAACACGGACCTTACTTGGTGTACAAGAACATGACTGGTAATAAATGGTTTGCCAGAGACGAGCAGCAGATGTGGTAATGTTCTGTTTGACACAGTTTTTCGTTAGTCTCAGTCTTTCTCTGTCTTTGCAGTTGGTTTAAGGGATTACTCATGGACGAGCAGATACTCAGTTTTGTACATTGACAATCCGGTATTTATTTTCCTTTACTTAAAAAAAAAAATAATAGAACGAATACATGATTGAAACATATCTTTAACTATAATGTATTTATATATATATATATATATTTTAGGTTGGAACAGGTTTCAGCTTTACTGATGATGACAGAGGCTTTGCTCAGAACCAAGACGATGTCGGCAGAGATCTGTACAGGTCTGCTTTCCTGCTCAGCTATCGATTCTCATTTCTTTGAGGTTTTTGTGCTTTATTTGCGTCTAACTTATCACTTTCTCTTCCTTTTAAAAGTGCTTTAACACAGTTCTTCCAACTCTTTCCTGAGTATCAGCCCAATGAGTTTTATGCAACTGGGGAGGTAAGTTTTGCCTTTCAATTTTTTCACATTAAAACCCTTGAATTGGCTCCATTCGGCAAATATCTATAATTCCATATTGCAATTACCACTGCACAGTTCCAGTAGGCTGTAAATGCACTCATGATTTTCAAACTGGAATATAGATTCAAATATACAGAGAACGTGAATATTTGTGCCTTACCAAGTTGCAGAAAACTTCTGGTGTATTTCTAACTGGCTGTTTAAACACTTATTTGTTGTTGCTGCCTAAACTGGGTTGGATGAAGCTAGCATAGTATAGATACATAAGCGCCTCAGACTCTGATGTCGGATGTGGTCTTCACTTCGTATCTTTATTTTTATCTCTGCAGTCATATGCAGGAAAATATGTTCCTGCCGTTTCCTATTACATCCACAAGAACAACCCCACCGCAAAGGTGAAGATCAACTTTAAGGGCATGGCTATCGGTGACGGACTCTGTGATCCAGAACTGGTTGGTATCGTGCAAACGTTTAAAATCTGTGACGTCCCTTCAAATGTGGCGTGCTCCGTTTTATTTCCCCATAGCTACAAATTCCAGATGTTACTGGCGTTGTATGTTCGCTCTCAACTCTCTGTTCGGTCTCTCCCCGTCAGATGCTGGGTGGTTATGGAGAGTTCCTGTATCAGACGGGAATGATAGACAAACTCCAGAAACAGTACGTGGACAAGCAGACGGACCTCGGCGTGGAACTCATCCAGCAGCAGAAATGGGTGGAGGCTTTTAAGGTAGAACCCAGGATACTTTATGTTGGTCGTCTTTGATTTGGATTGACTATTAATCACCCCATGATGGTAAACCGTTTCCTTTTCTAACTTTAGGTTTTTGACTCTTTGCTGAATGGAGACGTGGATCCGTATCCGTCGTTTTTCCAAAATGCTACAGGCTGCACCAACTATTTTAACTACATGACATGCCAGGTAGTCTGAAATCAGAGCTGCTTGAAAAGTTTTTAAAAACGTTTCAGTGCGTTCACACATCACTGCATTCTCCATGTTTGTTTTTTGTTTTCCACAGGAACCTGAAGACCAGGAGTACTTCTCCCAGTTTGTGACGCTGCCTGATGTGCGGAAAGCCATCCACGTGGGTAACCTGACCTTCCACGACGGCTACGAGGTGGAGAAGCACCTCCTGCAGGATGTCATGAAGAGCATCAAACCATGGTTGGGGATTCTGATGGACAACTACAGGGTAATGCACAACAGAAATTTCATTCAAAAGAATCTTTCAATTTCTCAAATTAAATTTTTAATAAAAAAAAAAATAAAAAAATCAACAAAAAACAAATGTGGCACATGTACAGGTCCTAATCTACAGCGGTCAGCTGGATGTGATTGTAGCAGCTCCTCTGACCGAGAGGTTTCTGCCGACTGTCAACTGGAGCGGAGCCGCCGAGTATAAAGCTGCTCCAAGGTTCCACTGGAAGCTCCAGCCCGACGACACCGAGGTGGCAGGTTACGTCAGACAAGTCGGAGAGTTTTTCCAGGTGAGCAGATGTGGAGGACAGACGCCCCAAATGCTACATGCAGATGAGCCGACATTTGAATAATCCTCTCAACCTGTCCAGGTCATCATCAGAGGAGGAGGACACATCCTGCCTTACGACCAGCCGGCGAGGTCCTTTGATATGATCGACAGGTTCTTGTCAACGCAGGGCTGGGCGTGAAATGGTGTCGATATGGGCTTATAGGACGCACTGATAGTGGAGTGTTGATTTTAAAGACCTTTGATTGTCACAACAAATGTAAATGAACTGTTTCTGTATATAGTTTTGCAAAAGGTTTAAAATATTTTTTTTTTCTTTAAATTGATCACCACTAATGAAATTATACAATTTCTCATCGACTTGAATTCAGTTGAGAATTTTTTTTTGTTTGTTTGTTTTTTTACACAGATCAATTTGAAATTTTTTTTTTTTTTTTTTTTTTTTTTAAGAAACAAAGTGGCTTATTTTGTTTTCTATGTTTTGGTTTAGGATTTTACATGATCTTGCTTTAACAGTATTGGTAATTTTGAAAATGCACACAAGGGGTCGCTGTAATTCAGTGAATTGCAACTGCAGACAAATAAAAAAAAAAGAAATCTGACCACATCATGGTCAGTGATGGTGACATTTTGTGAAAACAGTTAAATCTTTGATCTGATTAATTTTAATTTGAGAGATTGTTGAATAAATCGCTACAATATGTGACATGTTTGACAGATGAATCTGCTACATCATGAATATTTTCAGCCTGCCTTGTTTTCACAATTATGTGAAAAAGCAGTAGTGATGTCTAATTTAAGACATAAAAGATTAGAAAATACATCGTTCATTGAAACAACAACTTTAACTGATAACACTGCAAGAAAAACATGTCTATAAAAGTTACAAATATCGCACCATATCTGATGAGACATTTCCTTCTAAAGGATTCTTGTAGAAAACAAACTAAAATTGTGACGTTTTTGGTGAGTCTGTGTGAATTGGTACAAATTTAGAGATGGATAGACTTTATTTTGGTTTGAAACATTCTTAACAGTTTTTTTTCCAAGAAAAATTAGTATTTGGTAATGCGCATAAGCCTACACATCCAGGTTTGACCAACTTATTTATTTTTTTACACTAACTTGTACTTTGAGGTAAAGTAAACAAACTATTTCTAAATGAAGGGTCTCAGTTCAATTTAGAGAGTAGTGTATTTTCAATACACTACTCAAAATAGAATGGATGAATGTCATCCATTATTTTCAGAATGGATGACATATTTAAGAGATTAAATTCATCCAGAGTTCTTAAAAATTAGCAACGTAGCCTTTTATTTCTTACCAACTTAAAGATCATGCAATTGGGATCTGCATTTTTATGTTTTATAAAGCTTACACTGTGCACAACAGAGATAGTTGCTAAGTCTTCCATAAGAAACAGACAAATAATTTGGACAAAACATATTTTACCCAAACTGCTTCTGCCAGTCCTTAAGAGAATAGGACTGTGGGTGGTGAGCCATATAGTCTGAGCCATTCCTTTCCAAACTTGTAGATGTTGAAGTGCAATGATAGAATAAAGTTATTAAAAATTCCTGATATTTTTGAATAAATTGCTTTGATTTGATTTATTTTATATATTTAAGAGAGTTACCCTGTGGCGAATGTGTTTTTCTAAGTGATACGTTCTTTAAAGTGTAAACGGAAGCTACCTGGAACATTTCTTGAACAAATAAGTTCAAAAATGGAAACATTTCTGCAGGGATGTTAATGTGGTTGTACAAACTGCATCTATCTGCATGAATCCGGCACTGACGTTAACTGCCACGTTATTTCATCAGGCATCTATCAAGCTGTCTAGACGGCTTAATAATTAATGAGCATTCTAAACCTTTAAAGCATCTAACTATTTAATGAGCCGTTATTTTTTTTTCAAGGACAGTTGATCATATCACCTTTAACAGGATTACTTGCGCACACACACACACACACACACACACACACCAAAAATCCATTCCCACATAAGTGACTCTGAACCACAGAAAATACTAAATCGTATGTTACAGAACAAGTGCTTTATTTTCATACCGTAATGTAACTGCAATGATATTAAATGTCTGTACAAATGCAAAATAAAACAAAGGCAACATAATTACAGACACAAAACACACAAAATGTTGTACAAAGTTATGCAGGCAAGAATGGATTCATCAGTTCATTTCATATAAACAAGTTTTTAAGCGCTGGAACGAGTCTCCAGGTTTAGGCGTACAACAAAAGGCAACGAGTGCTATGAAAACATTATGTACAAACGTACCACACATTTCATACTCCCTTCAAAAAGAAAGGTGGTGTCAATACATGTACATGATTATAGAAATTAATGATATGTACAATATTTATATATTTAAATTTCAAATAATACAGTCACAACATCATCAATATGATGTTGCACACAGATATGCACACGTTGTACTTCCATCTGACCGTTTTGTTTGCCGAAAGAGTAACAAATGTTTTTTTGTTTTTTTTCTTCTCTGTGATAAATTCAAATTCAGAGCCAAAGAGAGGAAGGTTATATACAACTTCAAAGTCTAATGATTCCAGTTAAAGTATTCTGAGGACGTTAACATTTTTTTTTTTTTTCCATGCAAAAGATTAATTCGGAATGGTTAATTCAGACATCATCTCGGTCATTAGTTTTACAAACTAAAAATAAGGCAAGCTTCCAGTCAGAGGGGTGGTACAACAAAGCCCTTTTTTTAAGAGAATTTCTCTCACTCTTCATCACTCATACTGAGCTGCACATGCAGGCTCCGACATCAAGAGACTATATAAAAAGCTACTATTCCCCAAACCCTTCAACAGCCTAGCATGAATGGGAAGAGAAACTTTTTGAAAACAACAAGAGCACAAAGTTAAACCGTGTGACATCCATACCGATACTTAAGGTCTCCTCGTGATGCAAGCCAGGCACGGCCTCTCAAAAAAAAAAAAAAGAATAAAAAAAAAAAGGCAAAACACGCTACGTTTTTCTCGCTGGTGTGTGAAGATGGGAGATCGCTGAGAATTACTCTGACCTTTTAATATGGCTATTCTACCCTCTGTCACATCAGAGGACAAAAGTGCATAGACAACTGTGATCGCTCCACCTGCCAGTGGAATGTATTTCACCCATGCTGCTGCAAAACACAGTGCAACATGGTCTGCATGCAATTCATCTGACATTTCTGGTCATTAAGGAGAGGAGATAAAGACGCGACGCGGTCAATATGGGAAGTTTTGAGGTCGGAGGGAGGGGACAGAAAAGGGCAGAAATAGAGAATTGGAAACAACTATTTAACACATCGATGTTTTTCTCAGTACATAGATTTCTAGTGAGGCTACTGCCCTGAAATGAATGCCACATGTCAGTGACAAACTAAGTAATACAATAAAAAAAAAGAAAATCAAACAAATGTGGCACAGGAAATAAGTATTGAACACTTAAAAAGTATTTAAAAAGACCAAGAAAGAGAAGAACAACCACTCAAATCTGTCAGTATTTAGAAAAAAGAAAAACCTTGCACCCTATTAGGTGATTAATAGTATTTAATTGTTGGGTTAAAAAAAAGTTTTTATTACCAAGAAATGATGCATTAAGTATCTTATGAGGAGTAAAAGCAAAGAAATCTCTCATAACCGTCACAACCTTGATTGCAGCAAAAGATGGTGGTGGTGGTTTTGGTTAAAGAGAGGCTTCCGACTGCTCCAGTGAGCACAGTTAGGGGCACAAACAGGTGTTCCTCGCAAAGTCTCTGACAGACGAGGCAAGAAAAATTGCTTGGAAGAGCCAAGGAATACTTGCAGAGTTCTTAAGAAACACCTGGAATTAGGCTCTACGCATTCACTGCACAAGACTCCACTGCTGAAGTGAAATCAATATAAACACTGGGAAATGTAGTCTGTTCAGCTTAAGAACAAAATTACACTGTTTGAGTGTCATTGTCCACACCATATTAGGGGAACAAATTAAGAATTATACTATCCCAAAAACACGACACTAACATTGAGGTTAGAAAGTAATTTAACACTGGCAGGCTTAATGCAATATAGATGAATAGAAATATGTAAAGGGACATATTTATAAATAATCTGAAGGTGAAATGAATTTAGGTTTTTAGACAAGACGTTGATCCCAAACAAACAGCCAAGGAAACTGACTTAGTTTTAGAAAAAGAAAATACAGTTGAATGGCCCAGTCAATCATCTGACTGGAATCCATTTAAAAATCTTTGGAAGATTTTTAAAGATCAGCTGCAGAAGAAATCAAGAACAGGAACAGGCATGTAGACGGACAGATCAGGATCAAATCTAACCAACTAATGAAGTCAATTTCCTTATGTCTGTTCTGAAACGGCTCAAAAAGGCTTTTCCCCCCTTTTCATATTAGATTACATACATTTTAGGAAGCATCTTCAGTACTCATTCCCTGTGACATTCCACATCATTGCACAAGATCTGGTGAGATTTAGTTTTAAGTTTCTTCATGAGTAGATACTACCTGGGCAGTTACAGACATGCAGTATGACTGTCATGAGAAAAACATAAATATGCTCAATACTTATTTACCTACAGAAAAATCTGTCTCTAATATGCATCAGACATAGACAATTAAAGTAGTAACACACTAAAACACATGTTTTTCAAAGTTGTCTAACATAAGCAAACAAAGATTAAAAAAAAAAAAAGATTCAGGCACATTGTGATAACTTGGAAAGTATACCAAGAAAGAAATGCTTAAAGGCTGTCTGTTCACCAGAGGAAAGAAATTTCCCAAGTTCTCCTGTTTTCTCACAAGCTTCTCTCTTTTTATATGCTCTAACACAGCGAACTGAACTTTGTTCTGCACAGAAGAGAAGGAACAAAAGATTACTATACAGTACTCGCATGCATTCGCACAATCAGACATAAATTTCATTTGGAATTCAAATCCAAACACTCGACACAGACAAATAAAAGTCTCCAACGATTAAAGCTTGAGTTGGTCCTGCAGAGCGTAGGAGTTGGGTCTCAACCCCTGAGCTGCCTCACCGGGATCACAGTGTTCAGTTCTGTAGCTGACACAACATCAAATGTTTTGGTCACTCTGATCGTAATGCGGGGGATACAGTAAAGGAGATCATCAACACTGCTGTTGTATTGCTTCCGTTTGTTCGCAAGGTATCGTCACTGTCATGCAGATTATAATAAAGCTCATTAAGACTTATAGTGACAGGGTGAATGCTAACAGTCATACCAGCTTTAAGTCTTTACAAAGGCGTGGCGCCAGTTTGACTCGGATTCTGTGTCAAACACACGATACCGAAGTCCACCTGTCTGTCTAGCACAGGTAATGATTTGACTTCTTATTCAGTCCGTTACGCGTACAAAACCTAAGACATGATTCTGGAGGAGATAATCGGATGCTTTTTGGCTCCTTTCTCTGGTTCCATAGCCACCTTAGTCAGCTTTGTACCATAACAAAATAGAAAAACTCCCCAAAAACTGCTGTTGGTTGATCAGCAACAACCCTTCTTTCAGCCAATTGCACAAAAAGAGCAGACAGAAAAACAAGACTGAGCAAACCACAGAGCCACTGCGCGTTAACGGGGTTGGTCTATAAAAAATATACTGTAGCTACTGTATAAAGAGCAGCCGCGCTGGTCTTTTGAGGTTTTTCTCCTAGTGGAAAAGGGGGGGGGGGGGGGAGGGGCAGCGTGTGCAGCTGGTAACCCTCAGAAAAGAAGAGGGGGAGCTGAAAAAAACGATACTCTCCAGTCCCTAGTGGATGGGGTTAACGTCTGTGCGGTGATTGGCCTGTCCGTGCACAGTGCCGCCCCCTACAGTCGTGGTGGAGGTGGTGATGGTGTTGTGCTGGATGACCTGCTGCTGCTGGGAGCATACTGGGGTTGGACTGCCTGCCGGACTGCTCTCTGGACCTGAGGACACAGCAGAGACATCACTAAGGATAGTTATATGTGTAGGTTTAACAACAAAAAAAACTTGCTAAATACAAAAATAAACACAAACCATTTCATAATAGTAAAGAAAGAAGCAATTTATTGGTAAAAAAAAAAAAAATTTATAGCTTTTAAGATACAAATATTTCTTTAGTACATGTAATATTCCAAAAGACAAAAAATAGGATAAGACAGACACCGTAAATTGAATCGGTTAAGCTGGTAAACATGCCGGTGAGTCGTAGACACATTGAAGATGACGTCTGCACACAAGCTGGACTCATCAATGAAAGCCATTCCTGCCCTGTCTGGGATGCGGCTTTCGCCTGCATAAAAGAGCCATTCAGCCACTTGGGGATGTGAGCCTTATTTTCCTCTGCTAGCACAGGGAGGCGCCTCGTCCCATTTACATGAAAACGTCACTTGAGTCCGTATCAAAGGGTGGAGCTCTGATGTCATGTGAAGCTGAGCTTGGAGCGCGATCCAAAAAGTCACAATGGTTGCGGGCATTGGTAAGATTTTTTTGCCAATTTGTAGACTGTCAGGGCTTTCTCACGATGACTCCCTGTGCAAAGTGCAGCTGTTGAATGGAAAATTTAGTCTCTCCGAAGATTTGGACGACCAACTCCCAATCCGGGCCGACTACCAGAGTGTGCAACACCCTGGTGCGAAAGAAAGAGTCCTGCGGTGAGCGTGGGACCTGGATACCAGCACATCAGAGCGAAGAGTCCTGGCAGACACCTTAGAGTTACGTCTGCCGGGCTAAGGCACATCGGGGGAGGTGCAGTTTTGGTCATATTCCAAAATGTGTGTGTGCGCATGGGGTTCGTCTGTGTTTATGTTTTGGGCTACTCACTGAGGTAACCTTGGGACTCTTTCTGCATAGTGGTGATGGGGCAGTCCTTGTGTGTGAGCAGAAGCTGCTTGAGTTGGGTCACCTCATTCTTTAGCATGGTGACTTCGTTCTGAAAAAAAAAAAGACAGTTTTTAGTAGTGGTAAACACGGAATACAATTTACTATTATTTAGAGTGCCTTGCAGAAGTGTTAATATTTATCTGACAGACCGACACAAAGTTCCTATCAGGTGGGGTGAGTTATCTATTAGCCATTAAGTCATCAAGTCTGGCCTTAATGAAAGAGTGGCAAGAAAAAGGCGATTCTTGGAAAATGGGGAACATGGAGGCGACTGCATCATGCTGTGGGGATACTTTTCATCAACCGGCACATGAAAGTCAGTGTGATGGTCAGAGTTACAACTTCAGAAGACGGATGGAGCTTATTACAAGGCAGTCCTGTGGGAAAACCTTCAGAGACTACAAAGGATTTGGAACTGGTGTGGCAGTTTTACATCCAACAGGACAACAACCCCGATCATATAACCAGAGCTATGACGGACTGGGTCAGATCAAAGCATGTTCATGTGTTTGATTGACCTTGCCATGACTTGAAAATTGCTTCTCACAGATGCTCACCATCCAAGCCGACTGAGATTCAGTTGTTTAACAAAGAAGAATGCACCCGTCTCTGTCTGCAAAGCTACGTCCACAAGACGGTTCTACGAAGTGCACATCTCCATATCACGTCACGCCTGTCAGGTCTTATTCGTGACTATATACAGTTTTCCTTTTGCTCCATGGTTGTGTTCTACTTTGTGTTGGTCTTCCGCATGAAATACCAATAGAATGAAATTAAGTTTGTGGCTATACCATGAAAAATGTCAAAAAGTTCAAAGGACGTGAATATTTTTGCAAGGCCCACGCAGCTTAGAATTACACACTGCAACATGAAGAGTTTCGTCTTTATACCTGAAGCTGCATGTTAGTCTGAGTGAGCTCTTCGGCTTTCTTCTCCAAGGACATCACCCACACTTTTCTCTTCTGCCGGCACCTCGTCGCGGCCGCTCTGTTTCGCTCTAGGAACTTTCGCCGCCGCTCGTCCGGATCCTCGTCCACTACCCGCCGGCGCCGCCCGCCGCTGGCTGGGGGAGACTGCAGTGTCTGCGTGGGCTGCATCTGCTGGGTTGCAGGTGACATCTGAAACAGACGGCGCATAGGATGATCATTACTGGGATCTCCGGGATGACACAGCGTCTGTGTCCGCGTAATGTGCAACCTCTCTGGCATCTGGAAAACAGCCCGTAAGCTGTCTGCTGTCACCACTGCGCTGGCCTCAAAGCAGCTTGTGTGTAAACATCTATACATTATCTCCCCCTTGTTTTTTAATGCCTAGCACCTTGCCCAAAAACAACATCTGTTTGCAGCACGTGCCTCAGGAGCCGGGCTGCGTGCGTCAGAAGTGAAAGACTGAGTGGGTGACTGGGTTGATTCACCGGAGTTGCCCACCTTGTTAAAGAGGTGTCAGGAGGCAGTTTTCCAACGCCCACTTCCACTCAGACTAACACCAGCAGACATAGTGAAAAGGCCCGTTTTTTAAAAAACGTACGTGCTCTGACAGATCTTGACGTCTCCTTGGCAAAGTCAAGTGTTTTCAGTCTTCAGATCATTACCATTTTTATGAGAACCACGGAAAACACACAAGCTGCTTTAATGGCAGCTGTGCATACAGAACATGCTGCTTTAAAGCCTCAATGCTACATCTGGAACATACGACGAGTTGCATTTCTTCTCATCTGACTGCGCTTTATCCAAAATGATTGACGCTGCAAATAACGGCAGCGATACGAGGAGAAAGTCATAACGCTGCACGCATCAGTTTTAAATTAAACCACATCCATTCACAGATAACAACTTCCAGGATTGCGATCAGTGGTCGCAGTGCAACATCGGGACTAGCGTCTACAGCTCTCCTCTTGCACCAGAAGTTTTCACATGTCTGCCGCTTACCGGTGCAGGATGGGGTGAGAGTAAATTTCCAAAAGACATTTGTGAGCATCTTTAATGGCCACCACTTTATGACTTCCACTCTAAGCAATGCCCTCATGACAGGCATCAAGCTCTGACCTGTGGCTGACCAACCTGAGAAGAAAAGCGTTTTCTGAAAAGCGCGCCAGGAAACTAGCTGGCATCGAGGACGTGAGCCGTGGGGGAAAATGGGTTTGTCCACTAACCTTCTAATTTTAAGCATCATTTCGGCAATGCTCGAGCATTAAACCACTAATAGCTTCTTCCAAAACTACACAAAGGGCTACTGAAGCACTGCGCTCTATTAGTCAGTGACTTCTCACTGAGTGGGAGATTTAATGTGTTATGAAACATGCGGCTTTTGCCTTGGAGCTCAAACCCTGGGAATTGGCTTCGCTCACCTGTGAGTGCATAGGAGGGTGCGGCGATGTCTGGTGTGGGTGCCCGGGCAGGAGGTGAGGATTGTGGGAGTTGTGGTGAGGGTTGTGTCCCTGCGGGTGGTGGTGCGTGCCCTGCCCGTGGCCCTGGCTGTGGTGGTGGTGTCCGTGGTGCTGGTACGTGTGGGGAGGTGCTTGGAGGTGCTGGTGCGGGTGCGAGTGCATGTGATGATGGCTGCCCTGCTCCTGCCTCGTTGACATCATCTCCATCATGTGGCCCATGGAGTTCATGTTGCCGTTGGGGATGGCACCAGGGTGGTGGGAGAGGGCAGCTTTCAGCCTCTGCGTGGAGAAAAGAGATATGCACAACGTTTAATTTTGTGTTTTCGGCGTGGCTGAACGGTGTCGCAGTGTTGCAACGTAGCAAGGAAATCTCAGATCTGAAAACCAGCTTGGACCCTTTCTGCATTTTTATTTATTTTTTTTTTTGTACAAATGCTTTCTGTCCACAGGATAATTTGCTGGTTGCTGGTTGGAACTTTTTATTTTAAATTAGAATTATGCTATCATCACAGATGCAAGTCTGGAGTATTTCTCTTCATTTTCACCCATTCTTCTTTGCAATACATCTCAAACTCACTGTGACTGGGTGGACATTTTTCAAGCCTTTGATTCCTAGGATACCGTTTTATAGCCTATAAAACCTTTCATGAGGTACGAATCTTTTTCTCAACACTGTTTAGTTGTGTCTCTTCAGTGAGCTGATTAAGGGGTAGAGAGCATTTGCTGAAGATGACAAGTGGCTTCATAAATCCGTATGTCAGGTGAACAAATCCAAACCACTTAGCCTGTCCTCGCTCTCCCCCTCACTCCTGTCATTCCTGCTCTGCACCTTTCCCAACTGTCCTCATGCCAATCCTCCCTCTTCATATTCCCAATAGATTTTTTTTTCTCGAGCCTCGATGCTGCCTGCTGAGATGAACCTGCTGGTGAGGTGTGAACAGGCCAGCTTCCTTTAGCTGGCCTGTTGACCCAGCTAAAGGAAGGTTTGTTGCTTTAGCTGTGAGGTCTACTTAGCCCTGGCTGAGTCTGGGTCCTCTATGAGCGAGACCTGAGGGAGACTCAGTAAAGGTACAGTTTGTGTTCCTCGTGTTTACCAAATGCCCCGCCTGCTCCGCTCTGTTTTTCTGGGCATCACATGAGGAAAAGCACAGACGCAGACGTAAATAAATAAATAAAAAAAATTTAAAAGTGACATATGTAGATCTGAATGGCATCTAAACTTTAGTATAAATATTTATAATGATATAGTATGTCCCAGTCAAGATGTTACCAGCAAAAATGCAACGAAAGACATTCCTTCCTAGGCTACTGTTATGAATTCCACTTTTTTTCTTTTTTTAAACTCTTTCCCAGTGCTCTCATTTCTCTAAGTGCTCCCTTCCCCCCGCCAACCAGCTGCTGCTAGTGAGTCCGCGCTTGGTGCAAGGCTCCATATCTTTTAACAACCTTCACATTCATGATTCCCATCGGGAATGGCATCCAGCTGGCTCCGCTCACGATGCTAAGACATGGCCGAAGCGAAAACATCAGCTTTGCGCTCCTCGCTCACACCGCCTTATGAGCGCAAAGATTTTTTTTTTTTTTACAAGCAGAGCAGAGGAAGAGTCAAGTAAATCACTTTTTAAAAGACAAAAAAAAAGCAAAGAAGGTCACATGTGTAGGGTTGCATTAGCTTTAGTGTATTTATGTATTTTTAAGAATGTGTACAATTAGTTTAGTTCTTATTACCTTGTTTCTGATGAAGGGAGCAATACAGAGGGTTCCACATGAAACCGGCAGAGTGAAATTATGACCTTGCAGAGCCTGTTTCAGCTAACTATAGTTTCTGTTTGGCATACCAGGAGATGTCACACATTGTGACACAAGTTTCATTTCTGCAGCTTTATCTTTTGCACCTTATAAGTGTTTGTTTTAAAAAAGGGTTTGCGCAGAGATAACAAATCCAAACCCTATCTCAGACTCACACTTTGTTAACTCCCGTCAACGCAGCCTGATGAGCATTAAGTATCACGGCTTGCAGCCCTTCCTTTCTGCGACCAATGAGATAGGTGTCAAAATATCACAAAAGCTAAACACACGACGGGATGTACACAAAGCCTGCAGCTCACTGCAGCGGTACAGTCATACAGAGAATCTCAGAGGTGTCGTAACAGAAAGGCCTTTATTTCTTCTGACAGCTCATCCCACAGCCTGCATGTGTCAATAGCGAGTAGTGATCCAAATATAAGATAAAAAAAATTAAAAAATTAAAAATACAGGAGTATCAGAAAGGAAGTTGAAATCCATCTTCAACAAAAGTTGAAAGGCTTACATATCAGTTGTAGCCATCATCATTGTGACACATAATGAATTCACAGTCAGTGTGAGTCTGAAAGTGGAAACGCACTCCCTGTGTTCAAAAAGAAAACCAGTCAGGGCTGCACAAAGTTTCGCCACTTAAAGAGCAGGAAACCAGTACATTGCACATTGTCCTTTATAGTCCACACAAAGTTACCCAGAAGATGCTCATTCAGGCAAGAGCAAAGGAGGGAAGTGAAATGCAACAGTGGAAGAGAAAGAGACCAGAGGTAAGGAGAGATTAGATGGGTTCCCATGTCTCTTCCTCGAACACGATCAGTCCGGAACAACGGACATGCATTTATCAGCGTCTGCGGGAGGTTTCCAGCTGGCAGTGGAGCCCTGTGTGCTTGTTAACTGCATTAGCCTAAATTCGGAGAGGCCAGCGGGTGTCAAAGTACAGAGGGGAGGCGGAGAGCCGAGGGGCGGCTGCGGAAGTTGTAGGATACGTCACGAACAGAAAGCACCAAATTAAGCAAAGATATTGCTGAAAGTAAAATATTTATAGGGCGCAGTGAAATGGAGGAATAACTACTTCAAAATATAACTACATGAAATAAAATCGTTCTTGTTTCGTGGTAAGAGTGGGCGCTCTGGCAAAAACCTTTTTGTAAAGTAAAAATTACACTCCTAGTAATCCGATGTTAAAACACAACTATTAAAGGGATAGTTCAAGATTCTTTTTGAAGAGAGGTAATTTCAGAAGCAGTTAAAATCCAACTCGCAATAGATAACTCTCTTACTGTCTACATTTTAACATTAATACAACTTAATTTCTGAAGCGTCACAGTTAGAGAAGGGTTAAGATCAATTATGCCTTAAGCAACCCAGTTCTCAAAAAACATGTTAAAAGTTGATCTGAGTTATTTTATTTAAATTTTAAGGGTTTGACCAGCTTGTATTACATGTCTTTTTTGCTGGGAAATGCTGATGGTTGGAGGTAGAACACCACCCTGAATATTTCTGTGTGGAGCACATACTGAGGATGTACAACAATCAAAACTGTGCTCATTTAATAAGATTTTAATGACAAAATACCCCTGTAAAGAAAAACACAGAGCATGCAAGCTAAAGGAACATTTCTGAAACTGTGATACTTTCATTCAGACCATTAGACCCAATGCCAACTCTAACATTATCATATCAGCCTTTTCTGTTTGAGGGTTTGAGTCCTGCAATCATCATTATTGTCATATTTTGAGGCAATAACACATGACAGACTTTGCTGCTAATGTAACATCTAACAACATGTAAGCAGCAGAATTTAAGAATAATGGCAAAGTCACAAATTGAGCTAAAAGAAGAAGAAGAAGAAGAAGAAGAAGAAGAAGAAGAAGAAGAAGAAGAAGGCCTTACCGTGACAGCAAGTCTACTCCTGAGGCTATCTCTGCACAAGTGTCAGCTCTTCCTCCATCTGGAGTTAAGTCGTGTTCAGCCAAAACTTTAAGCCTTTGTATCCAGAACCACAGTGACGCAACTAAGGGACGTTAGCAGAGCAATGATGAGCAGGCTGTGACTCTCAAACACCTTCATCAGCTCCCTAATGACTTTTTAACACAAGGTTGTATTTCCCCAGACTCTGCTGAGCACAGGAACTTAACCACTATGTGCATTTTACTTTAATAACACACACACACGCACAAGCACGCACACACACACACACATGCATGCATACATTTTACATTTCTCTTGCAGCAACATAGCCGTCCCAGAAAACAGTCATTAAAAGAGTGCAGGTGTTAGCCTGTGGCAGCGTGGACTACTTGCAGGTAAGATGGCATGCAAGTGCTTTCCACCACTGTCTGCCAAGCTGCTGCAGGAAAATGGAAAACAAAGCAAAAAGACAAAAAATATGGCATCTATGTGACACCGTAAAGACTTGGTCGGCTCTTTCCCTCGTAATTCTATCAAACAGCAGCATAAATACATGTGTTTGACAGAACATTTCATGCATTCTGAGTGTGCTAAAAGTCGTGGCGGATATTGATTTTTTTCTTGTTTTAAATCCCTGATTCAGCTAGCTTTTTGCACAGACGGAAGCTATCTCCTTGCAGACCTCTGCCCTCCGACCTCCCAACTCCCACTCCGTTTTTTTTTTTTTTTTTAGGCCGCTTGCATTTATGTGTTTTCGGTGATACCAGGTGATTGTCCATTAATGATATTTATTAATAGCTGATTCCTCTCTGACACGACAGGCCTCTGAGTGATGTCCCTGTGAGTGCTCTGGGCACCTCCTGAGAACACACCAGGGTTTCTCTTCCACCAGATGACTTCATATCTATTAACCCTGGGAGGAGAAAGCAGGAGCATGGAGCAGGTACAAAAAAAGGAGGGGACCACGCCTATCTGGGGATGGGTAAATCAAAGCTAGTAAGGTCAGGGTGAGCACTTTTATTCCCCTTAAAAGTGGAGCGGTGGGCTATCGGGAGAACCCGTGGCCCTCTGGCGCCTTACAGAAGGTTGGAAAGATTTAACCAGTCTGTGGTGTCACAGTTTAACGACAAAGAGATCAAAGTTTTAAACGGAGACCTTACTCTTCCCATAAAAACAGCCCAGAGATAAATACTGAAGCTTCTGTATGTCTCTGTTCGCTCTTTGTTAATGCAAGACTGGTTCAGAATGTGAGCACAAAGTATTTCTAATTGGTTTAGCAAAATCCCATCTATTTCTGATCCCTGAATGCATCAGGAAACCTGGTAGCTGAGATCAGCAGCTACAGTTACACCTTTGTGCAGCAGCTGTCTCAAGAGTTTTTGGCCATGAACAACAGGCTCCTGGCTTTTATACCTTCGTCTGAGACAGGATTGAGGCAGTCCAGTTTTTAAATTAAACAGGAAGAGGTCCAGCAGATAAAATCTGTCATTGGTAGCAGAAGAATAGTGAACAATTCACCTAAATCCCTAAAACTTGAGTCTAAAAACAACAGGAAAGTGAAAAGCTTG